ACTCAATGTCAACATAAAGCTTCAGAAGATTCTTCACGAGGTATTCTAGGGACAATTGATGTCCTTCAAACAGAGTTGATGTGGCCGTTGATCCACTACAGACATGAGTTATAGTTAGATGGGGAATACATAAGAAAATTCGCATTGCTTGACATAGTGTGAGCAAGTCACAGTGCAATATGTTGAGAATTTCAAAAAAGCACACCTCCTTCTGGGCATCCAGCAATTGAGGACTTCAACCATTTTCGCTCTTAGATAAGGATTTCTAACATATTCTGTACTAGCCATGAACATAATAATGAAGTTCATAAAATCATCCTGTCCAGAAATAGATAAAATGAATTAATTACTAAAAAATAGCTAATGGTGAATAAACAGTCCACAAAAATGTAAATTGAAGATTCGAATACTTACAAGTATAATCCCATCCAAAGCTCTAGGAATTCTAGATGCAAAAATAAGCAACTCCATGGCGTCTTCTACAAAATGCTCCGGCATACAGGCAAATTCCATTGGGCAAGCTGGTGGCAGAGGCATTTTAAAACCACCTACAAGGCTGACCAACCAAACCACCATTAAATGGTAGTAGGACAATGCCCGCTGAAGAAGCCCTCCATCCTATGAATAAAGAAGCAAGTTAGTGTTTGTAAATAATGAGAAAAATTTGACAGTAAAAAAAAAAACAAAGTTACAAACTGCAACAGGGGCACAAGTGCATTCACGTATCATCTGCATTTACAACATTTATACACTACATGCATGACAATGGGGAAAAGAAATGTCATAAAAGTACATACTCTCAGTATCTGAGCTTCGTAGCATAATTTCTCTTGTGAATACAACTCAATTTCTTTCTCAAGACGTGATATATCCTGCTGCAATTGTGGAGAAGGTGCTTGCCCTACCATGGCTTTGAAAGTGGATAAGGTATCTTCACATCTTGAAATGTCCTGAACATATATTCCAAGATAATTACGCCTTCAAAGAGTCTAACAAACAGTACTATTTAAGGTACACATAAATATCCAACAACAAAACACTATTCAAAAGGAAATGAAACAATAATAATACTAATAGATCTGATCCATCGTTGCCAAACTAAGGAGTGCACAACCTGAACAAGATTTTTGAAGTCCGAAAATGCTTTTAGTAATCCCAAGTTAAGCACCCTGGCAGTCATGAAGAAGCATTCACAAATGAATGGGTATTTGGCTTTCTGGCTACAACTTGACATTGGTCTATTACTTTGAAGGAGAGAAACCTCATTTGCTTTACTGCCTGAACTAGTAGCTTCCTGAGATTTTAGCAATCGATTTTCACCATCACTATTATTTGCAGAGACATCAGCTTTCCCAGGATTAATTCTGTTTATCCAGTCAGATATTTCTTCAGATGATGCATGTAGAGCTGTCAGTCCTCTGGTACATGTTTATCATCAGAATGAATTAAGATATCATATTATGATAAATGCATCACCAATAAAAATAAAATGTACATAGTTCCAAGAGAAATCTCCCACCTCAATTCCAAACGATCACTGTCAAATACATATTTAGGATCAACTTTATCCTTTTTCGACATATTTGCATCCAAGAATGGCTCGCAGAGACGAAGCATAACGGCACTCAAATTTACAAACATTCCAGAACTAGCACTAGAAAGTGGATCAACCTGTAACCAAGTATCATTTATTTAAGGTTCCAAAAGCAATGAAACAATTAAAGATTTTGACCACACTTTAAGTGCAGCAAAGTAATTCTGTAATAATAAAATTAAGACGTCTGCTTATGCAATTAATTTGGGAAAATAAAATACTGAGATTTGCTAATATGTGTCTAAATTGAACAATCTATGCCGGGGAAAGATTCACCTGCAAATGTGCACGTGAAGAGTTTCTGTTGATGACCTCTGCAAGGTACCCAAGAACATTCTCACGAGTGTTTGTATTCTTAAGGAGGCACATAAGTACTTCCGTCAAGCCATCATATAAGTTGTTCATGACCGTTTTAATAGTTGTGAAGGAAGACAGGAGATCGGCTGGACGACGAGTTGATGCTTCTGAGAAGCACTGCTGGCTGGCATTTTAGGAGAGTATCCACCAATCAACACATTGAGTTCTTTAAATAAGAAAACTACCAAGGCTACATTCCCTCAAATTCAGCTTCAGGTAAAACTTTACATGAATGCAAAACACTTAAGATTTACTCAAATTTCTACAAGTATATTATGTTCATGGGCAAGTTGCATAACCGTGCAAATACATTATCAGTGCATGTTAGTTAATGTTCATGTTACACAACCATACATCTATAAAAAAATTTACAGAAAATGAAGCCAAAATAATCAACACTCACGAGACATGTTGATTTGCAGTGGCTAATATGCACAGAACAACAGCAGATTATTTATACCCCATGAAAACAAACTAGGAGCAGTAATCAAACTCACCCAACATCAGGCTCGCTCTTGAAGAGTGCATGATCAGGCAATGCACTAACATGGAGAAAGGGACCCAAAATGCTAGTCATCTCAATCACTCTCCCATTCAGATACACGCCCTTCGGAATCCACCATGGATGATTCACTAGCGCCTTGGCTCCAACAGGATAATTAACCAGTAACAACAAGGCCCTGAGTGGTTGCTGGAAGTTCCCCAAAGCCGAAACTTTCAGCATACTTCCTCTCAAATCCTCGTACAACTTCTTCAAAATTGGTTCCATGGAATCATAGTCCCCATCACGGAAAAACTCCTCCAGAAACCCTGGTGGAGACGAAACTCCCCCACTACTCCCTCCAAACCCATCAATATTACTTCCTACTTCGGAAAAAACCAGAGGCAGCAAAGGCGAAACACTTGACTTATTCGTATCCCAATTCGGAAACATATCTGGATTCCCCAACTGAATCCTACAATACGAAACAAATAATTTCTTAGCTTGCTTCACTACCATCTCCATTTCCCCCCTCACATTCTTATCCTTCATCGACCCAATTTTCTTCCCCTCCTCATAAGCCCGACGATAGCAATTAACTAAATACTGAAACGGCGGCTCAGCCGAAACAAAATTCCCCGATAGCCGATCAATTAAGACTCTCTCCATCAAATCTCGCGACATTTTCAACTCCTTTCCCTCGCTCAGAATCTCCGCTGCCGTCATCTCCAAGTACACTACTCGTGAATCACTTTCCATCGAATCGACAAACGATACAAAGAATATTTTCCGGAGAATAATATCTTCGATTTCCGCCGACGTCCTTTGGGGTTTTTGAGTTGCCATAGCCCAGAAAAATCTCAATAACGAATATTTCTCGAGAAAATTTAAATTAGAGTTTTCTATTTCAGAACTGAAACTGGGAAAAAAACAGATCCAATAACTCTATAAAAAAACTTGCCTGTTCAATAATAAAGATCGATAGAGATTCATATGCGCATATGCATATAATTATAATTAAAGAAAAAATTGGGTAAATGGGAATAATAATGTAAAGAAGACTGAGCAATAATGAACTGTTGAAGAAAAAACTAATTCAAGATTATTATGCTATTGAAGCAAGTATATTTGTTTTGTTTTGTTTTGTTTTGTTGACGAATTAATTGAGTTTTTTTATTAATTTTCATTTTCAATTACACATTTTTTAATGAAATAACATTTTTCATCGCATCAATAATTTTTTCTTCTTTTTCAATAACACATTTCCCATCATATCACTATTCAAAATCAATTCTTCGGGGTTTTTAGAGAGTATTTGTTCGTGATATAAAATTAACGTTATTTTTAAGAATTAAAATAAAATAGTGTAAGTATAGTAATTAAAAGTGACAATCGCTTTTTATCCAAAGGTAATGTCGGCTCGCTTTGAAATGATGAGTGCAAATTTTTTGTATTTATTATTTTTCTTGCTTATTTAAAAATAAGAGGAAAAACAAATCTTGTAATTCTTAATGAAAATTTTGGACAAAAATGGTAGCAAGATCTTGTAATTAATGAAAGGTTGATTATAATAATGTAATAAAAAAAAGTTGGGACATTTCTCATATAATTAAAATGTGGTGCACGTATAAAAATTTGCAGTGTCAATATATTTATTTTGCCATTAACTAATAGAATTTTTAACATTTTTTATTAAAAAAGTATTTTAGTGACTATTTCGGCCTTAACATTAAAAGGTTTGCTACTCTATGAACTACATGAGCGCTTCGCCCTTTCCTTCATCAACATCACAAAAGCCTAACCCCTTTCCCTAGAAATCCTCTTTAAGAACTTTCTCTTCCAAGTATTTACTCTCAGTGGTAGGAGTTGGTAGATTGCAGAAGTTCTTTCGTTCCTCATTCCTGGAATAACAGCAAAGGTTGTCTAATAGAAGTGTTCTCACTTATGAGATCGATAAGGAAAACACATCTAATTAAAAAAAGGTACTCTCTTTGAGTTTGTCATCCTACCTACAAGTTATTTATTAACGCCCATGTTAGATTTTGACATGAAATTCACTAATGCAACTGCGATGTGATGAATTGTGGGAGTAAATTAAAGTTATGTGATCTGTTTGCAATATATTGAAGGTAAGCGACCTTATTAAAATTTTGATGCAAATTGTGTGCCAATAAGTACAACTTACATTGTGACATTAACTCTGCTATAACAGTGTATGTCATTGCAAAAAAATTGAAGTTGGGCCACCTAATTGAGATTTCAATGGAAGTTCAGTGACCAAAAATGAAATTTGCCCAACCTTGTAATGACTATGAGTCCTGTTGAGGAATGTGTACTACAGAATGACAATAGAACAAAACCAAATGCCAAAACCCATTTTTATGGTGTATCTTACTAATCTAAAAAGATATGCATCCATATATATCATGTAAATTGAAGTTCTATTTTACCAAATCCAACAGAAAAAAGATTTCAGTGTTCATTACAATGCTAGCAAGGAAATCCATTGCTTTTGTTTAATGAAGAAAGTATGCACAAAAACAGAGTTTACTTCGTCTGAACATTCTTTTATTCTGGAGAGAGACCACGTTTCCTACAAATGTTCTTCAAATAAACCATTCGCGCAAATTTCTTCGTTTTTCCTACGTCATGCACTTCAAAGAATCTGCAATTATCATGGGAAGGGAGAAAAGAATTGCTTTTATTCAAGATGATCATGAGGCCTTATTGACATAAAGAATGCAGCATACTGTCTGAGACGACGATCACTATCGACATTAGCTATGTCATGATTTGATACTCGTCTTGTCCTCAGCATGTAACGGCGCCAAGCCAATTGTATATTAACAGCAGCCCATGTCCTCCAGTTGGACGAATAAAGTCTAGCAGTACGCATAAGCCTTTCGTTAGCGAATTTGTAGCGAAAGTGGTCAGTGATATACCGTAGATCGTTTGCATCAAGAGCAAATGCTTCAGTAGATTCGATACAGGTAAATGTTGCAGAAGAGGCAGGAAGCCTATCTATGAAAGGCCGGCGAAGGCACCATGAGAAAAGTTCGTCTCCGAAAAATCCTCCAGGATCAAGTATGCTCGTGGCTACCATTCCTCGACTGAGGTTTTGGCTACTCTTTACACGACCATGCATGATGAACACAATCCTCTGCACAGCATCTCCTTCTCGAACAATCTGTTTTAATCTTGGAAGTGAGTAAGGAAATATCGATGATATTCTTACAACAGTAAAATGTTGGTTGAGACTAAAACTTTCTACCTTTTCATCTTTGGAGAAAACGAGGGGCTTGGCACGGTCACAGATATTATCCAGTATGAGATCATCCAGACTGTGGAAGAGAGGCACCTGAAAAGCATATACTTCATTTTAATAAAAATTTTGTACGCAAAAGATAGTATCATGTCAGCAAACTCCAATTTTACGTATGGCTTCATTATTATCATCAGAAGTTACACTTTATATCACGCTTTAAGGATTCATCCTAACATGTTTGGCTAAGCTTAAAAGGCGTAGTACAAGTAAATAAGTATAAAAATAAATAATTTTTTAAGAAGTAAAGATGGAAATAAGCAACTTATTTGGACAAGCTAAATGTTACTTTCAACATAAGAACAATTTTTACTTAAAAGTAAGAAAAGAGCAACTTACCTCGATGTGTTTGGAAACAAAAAATACTCAAAATAAAATTACTTGCAAAGCAGCTTAGTCCAACATGTTTATTTTACGCCAACATGTCAGTTTATCAATTCATTACGTGATGGCCCTTGCTCGCACCTTTTTAATTAAGTCGAGGCAAAGATAGCGTTTGATGTCCCTTCGAAGTCCTTCTGGTAAGTCTTTAATAAGTTCCATCTCATCATCTCCACCCATAGCTGTACATCTTTCACGTTCATATCGACGAACTCTTTGTCTCAATTGTGATGGCAATTGCCTCCGTCTCATCCACCATTCCATGTCTCGGCACCTTAATTGCATTTTCCTCTTCCTCGCCATTACCGCATGTAAAAATACCTTTACCAGAAAAATTCCAGAGATAATTATATACTGTTTCACATATTCAAAATTTGATGAAAACAATATCGATTTTTTGTATTTTCTGTAGAATATCCAAGTTATTTATGTTACCTGAATATTTCCGATTAACAGCGTGAACAGCATTAAACCACTAAGCACCATACATATACTGAACATTACTTCGAGCCAGTGGCTTGTCGGTTCCAAGTCATTGCCAAAGGTGCTGCAACCAAAGAACATAAAACTGTAAGCATGACTCCAGGGAATTCAAACAGTAGCTGCAGTTTCACTATTGAATTCTTTCACTCATTTTACTGCCGTTTTCTGTTTTTATTACACATCTGTTATAATAATTAGAAATATAATCAAAAGGAATAACACTAAAAACCTGGATATGCACTCTTTCAAAATAAAACAGGACTAAAGTATCATCACCATCTTGTCAATCTGAAGTTTGACAATCCCAATTTAAATAATAATGGTTTTTCAAGTTCCAGCAAAGATAGGGGAAAAAAAGAAAAGAAAAATGCAAGGGGAAAACATAAATGCAGTATTTTCCTCTTCTACAGTAATGTTTTCCTTAGAGGCAATTTCTAATCTATTTTTGAAAATTCTAAGATGTAGCAGAACGCGTTATTAAGACTTGGATTCCATTTTAAAAGGTCAACCGTATTAAGAGGTGTGGCCCAAACACTTATAACTTGGCTTACGTTCTCATCTTTATTCTATGTGGGATTTTACCCCTTAATGTACCCCCGCAAGATGGTGGCTCGTTTGAGACCAATCTTGAAATCCATATGCTCATTAGCCCAAACTCTTCTAAGTTGGTCTATATTTTCATCCTAATTCGATGTGGGATTTTATCCCTTACCACATATAACGGCAGAAAATTCCAAACTTCCCATTTCATCATATGCTAATGTACATTTAAAATCACTATCGAATCTCAGTATGACAACCGGGAGGAGCAGAAAATGAATTGCATTCAGATATATGTGGCTCCACATATTCTTGCAAAATGAGTGGTCATATAATTACCTTAGGGTCATTAATCCCCAAAATATGGGATAAAGGATCTTAACAGTAACAGAATTGCTAGACACGACTGGAAGAGCCCACTTGTATATTCCATATCTGAATGGTCCATTGATGTCCAAACACAATGGCTTTCTTAGTACAACGGTTGAGTTATCGGCACATGGATTTCCTATCGTCCCCGATGGTAATAGAAACTGGTAACAGACTTCGTCTGAGCATGACAAAGAGAGATTACATGTACTACTTCTGTTACACTGCTGCTTGAGGCACGATGCAATGCGTTGTATAGAAAGAACATACCAGCATCCCCCGGCAACCTGTAGAAAGGATAACTCTGTTACGGATTAGTTTGACAGGAATAATAATTAGAAAAAAGAAATATTAGGGTCAGACTAGGTTTGTTTGAGCCCCAATTTTGGGGTTAATAGATTTTGAAATAGTGATTTTTGAAGAATGTGTGATGAAAAGGTTTAGGTTCACGTGTAAAATTATTTTATTGGGAAAAATGAGTTTTTGAAGAATGGGGGTCAAACAGAATGCACTCTATACCATTCTAATGAGAAAAAAAGAAGCCTCTGCCACCCTGTCGACCGTATTGGGAAGTTCAATTCGTGGTCAAGGGGATAAGTGCATATTATGATTAGGTTGTGTAGAGTCCAACAAAATCGACCTGGAATAGATTTTTGAATTATTTAAAACATTAAGGGAATGATGGGAATGAGATGCACTTACATGAGAAGCAATAAAATATGCTATGAGATTAAGGCCAAAACCCCACCAAATGGTGCCAAAGATGTAACCTGTCACTTTCTGCATTCTTTTCATCATGTATATACTGTGATAGACCTTAGGAAGGAACTGGAACAGGAACATCAGCAGGAGAATTGTCATTATAAGCTTTATTTGCTCGTCTTTGATCAATCGTGGCACTACCAGCCAAAACACAGCCTGCAAAAAGAAAAAAGAGAGATTTAAAACATGAGTCAGAAACTAAAATAGCCAGGAGAGAAAACTGGAACTTTCGGCTTAAGATTAAAAAAACTGTTAGTGCCCCAACTTATATCATTGTTTTGCTGTCACCGGACTTTTTTTCTTCCAAATTAGTCGTTGAACTTCCATTTTAGTTTAATTTAGAAACCTCTGTCTGCTGAATTACCAGAAACACTGACGAATTAATTCACTCACTCTCCCATTCTTCTCGTTTGATCTGATTACTTGTAAGGCATAATTTCATTAACAGACAATAGACGATAGTACTTGTGAACGTGTGGTTGAGATTAATGCTTAACTTCGACTAAATAGAAAAAGGAACTTATAAGTAACTTTTTAGCATAGTTGAACAAAGGCTAAATAGTCTTTTTAATCAATAAACTTAGTTAGAGATATCTGCCAAGAAAATTTATCGAGCAATAATCTTTTGAAGGATTTTTAGCCCCGTTTGGATCTCATTTTAATGAGATTTTTCCTTCTTATTTCATTAAGCTACAGCGAATAAAACAATTAAAAATTCAAAAGTTATATCAGCTTTGTCACAGTCCGTACAGAAATCAAACACAAATTGTTGTTATTGCCTACAAATTTGAATCAATTCAAACAAGGGGGCCCACAAAAGATGAAAATGAGGAAAGTATGAAGGCAAATCGGGGGCTTAGGAGAAATTGTTACTGGTTTAGGTGGTGGGTCCCTGATTCATTTTTCAATGACCAATGGGATTGTGATGCATTTGAATGTATTTGAGAATTGATTAAAGATTCACTGCCACCAACACCGACGATAATATATATTCTACTAGTAATTAATAGCAATATTCTCTGTCATTAGAACCTCCACATCGTATGATAGTGCACTTTTAAGCTCGAGTAATACTTAAAACTGCACAAGATTGAACATCAATATGTTGATCAGAACTCAACTCAACCCAAAGGTTTTTGAAGTATTTTAAGTCTTCACACTCAAGGTTATTCTTAATGCAGGATGATATCATATGCTTTTTCAGTTTTCCTTATTGCGAGAGAGAGATAGAGTGGCTGATGAATATCTAAAAATTATAAACAACGGTCCATTTTTCGACGCAAGCAAAATTCAGTGCACCTATAACCCCTAACTGCATATTAACTCATGATCGATCATTTATGTGCATATGTACCATTGAAGGTGACAACATCCCACCTTATTTTATTCGTCATTTTGTAGAACTTAAAAAAGCAACCAAATTTACGAATTAATTTAGAATTAGTGTTAAAAACACCATTCGTGTGATAGTCCGAGAATACTTTGTTCTAAAGTTAATGAATAATGGATTTTGCCTCTTTGTTAGAAAAAATTTAAGAGAGTCGGTTACATTAATTGGAGCTTGCAGCCGATAATTTGATGAAAAAGCTTATTCCGTTTAAAACAGTTCAACAATAAAATGTAATATAATATTATGTCAAGGATTATATGAAGGCACTATAACATGATTCATGAATGATACCGAACCTGAGGTACGGGTAGAATCACGAAAGCATCGAACCAAAATCCCTTAAGTGACCACAGGTAATGCGAAGCAATGGCACGTGCGTCCCACACGAGTTTCCCGCATCCAACAACGAGCGATTCTCTCGACACGTAAGCCAACCGAAACTGCAGCCACAAATGGCAGAGGTGTACGACGTCCAAGCACGTGCGAATGACGGTGACGATCGCCGCAAGTCCGCCGTCCATATACAAGCACGGCGAGCTACCGCGTCCGATCGACAGGGCGTAGAAGAACAGAGGATCGACGGCCAACGCCATGGCGCGTACCAGTAAGAAAGCACGGTTCCACTTCTGCACCCGCTTACTTCTCGGGTCCAAGACCCGGCCGAACGGACCCAAATTCCTCCTGTGGCTGTTGGCGGAGCGGGTTTTGCCCGTTTTCAGGCCCGGTCGGTTTTTAATTGGGATTAACGAAGAACCGGCGGAAGCCTCCCACTCCGGCTGGTGGGCCTTGTCGCAGCTGGTGGAGTGGAATATAGGAACACCCACCTGAGTACAAGCGTAGCATTCGACTGTGCTTGATATTTGATTGGGCTCGTCGACATCGTCCCCGGTTTCTGGCTGATCTGATTCTCGCCGGAATTTTCCAAACCACCTAGGATCAAATACATAAACTCCAGAATTAAATCATGTAAAAGACGAACTAAAACATTAATTAATTTTCCCATTTGAGATAAACGACATTCATTATCCATTACTGTTCACCAACTAAACTGACATGAATCAACAAGCTAATTCGTTACAGAATGGGTTTAACAAGATTGTAGAAGAAATTCAAGAACCAGACAATGAAAATTATAGAGAGACCTTGAGAGGCAAAAACGGGGGTCTGGATTAGAAGGCATCTTCGGAAGACGGGAACCATGGGAAAGAAAATTAACAGGGAGGAAGAAAACTTTTGAAGATTGAAATTGGGAAGAAGCAATTAAATGAAGATCCACATGTTCTAGAAAGAAATTTAGGATAGACAGCGCATACCATGCAGGGTGGGGGAATGGAGACTATCGAGAAGGGTGGCGTGGGGTTATCAATAATGAAAATTGTCCGTATTAGCATCTAAGGGATGAACAGCATCCTTAACGGCCCCCACCTGTCCTGTTCTGGACTTTGATGAATGAGGTAAATCGCAGGTTATGTCTCCAAGAGTATAGGGTGGAAGGTTGCTTGTACATTTTCACTTACCCAAAGGTCAAATACATATTTCAGGATTCAAACACTTGACGCAGCAGCCTCAAGCAAAATTGAAGTTTTTCTATCTTCCCCTTTTATCACTTGGAGATGTGTCCTGGGGGCATCCGTATTAGCATCTAGCACATGAACAGACTGAATTATTTACATATTATCAAGGAGGTGGGGTGGTATTTGGCTGCGCTTAAATGTAAGAAAATTTTAATTTTAAGTTACTTATTTTCTTAACGTACATAATTACTTGTGATTTTGTGAAAATTATACTTTTACAACTTTTTAGAAAAAGTTGTATGATTCTTCTCCAATTTGTGAAAGAAGTCGTTGTCATGTCTTCCCAATCATTTTCTTTTTACAACGTGATCCTTAACTTACATAACCCCTGTTTGTTCTGAATAAAAATATATTTTTAATAAGTTTAAATAAAAGTTAATAAAATGTGTGATTGAAAAATTGTGAATCCTATAAAATGTGCTATTGACAATCAGTTTGAAAAAAAAAATTAAAGAACGCGAGTCAAACAATAACTTAATCACTTACGTGTGCAATTAGTTTGTTATTACACACAATAATAATAGAATATCTCACATGCATAAGCATAACTTTGATGGGTCCAACCATTCTAATAAGTACATTTTACTATATTTTTAATTGTTTCAAAGAGAAATATAAAGAGTCAAACTTTAAACCCCTTTTTGAAAAAAAATCATGTGCAAAGAAGTGAGTATTTAACAGATATTATATATATATATANCCAACTTACACTTTTCACAAATTACTCATCGAACTTCAAAATGCTTCCGGATGGTCACTCATCTTTGAGATATTGCACTCCATTCATCATCCGCTATATTTTATTTCATTCATTCTTAATGATCGCAAAAAAATTCCACGTGGTAAGTTACAAATGTTAAAAAAATTGCAACTCAACAAAATTAACTCACCAAAATCACCATATATGAAACGTGACTTTCACTGCCCATCAACTTCTTTAAAATCAAATAAAGCGTTCCAAATAATTCTTCTAAAAATATTACTTTTCTAATTCAAATGTTTGATGTGCAAAAAATAGTTTTCAATCTGAAACTGAAACTCTGAAGTATAACTTGTTTGTTATTGTACTTGCTGTGTGAAAATGAAATGTATGATTGAAAAATTGTGAATCCTATAAAATATGTTATTGACAACGAATTTGAAAAATAAATTAAAGAATGGCGAATCAAACAATAACTTAATCACTTACGTGTGCAATTAGTTTGTTATTGCACACAATAATAATAGAATATCTCACATGCACAAGCATAACTTTGATGGGTCCAACCATTCTAATAACTTCATTTCACTATATTTTTAATTGTTTTAAAGAGAAATATAAAGAGTAAGACTTTAAACCCCTTTTTTGAAAAAAAATCATGTGCAAAGCAGTGAGTATTTAACAGATATTGTATATATATATATATATATATACTGTTTTATGTAAAAGGATATATATATACTGTTTTATGTAAAAGGACCTATGACACTCAATTGACAGTAAGCCCCTATCTTTGTTGGCATTAAAGTCAGGCACTTAGCCATATATTTTTTTTTATTCTTATTTTTAACTACACATTTTTTAATAAAATAATATTTTTTATTACATCATTAATTTTTCATTCTTTTTCAACCACACATTTTCCATTACATCAAACAAAAAAATATATTTTTGGACTCAAAATGTGCACTAAACAGGGGCTTAACCCCTATTTGAAACACATTTTTTCAAATACATTCTTTCAAAACTCATTTTCAACCACACATTTTTCAATAAAATAATATTTTTCATCACACCAATAACGTTTTCTTACTTTTTATCCACATATTTTCAATCATATCACTATTTAAAATACATTCTTTTCTCAATAATATTTATTAAACTCGCTAGATTTTGATTTTAAAAGATTATTAAATATATGGTTGAAAAATTATGGGTTACATGAAATTTGTGATTAAAATTAATTATTTACTTTGATTAAGATTAAAATTCTGATTTTAATCCCCACCAAACAAAGGTTAAAAACATAAAATTGGTATGGCCAAAATTTAAATCTAAGCATTTTAATCAGATTTTAAAATTAAATAATTTATTTATTTTAAAAAATAACTTATTATTAAAAACTCGAGCACGACAAAGCCGCAGGATCGTTTGTATGGCTAAAAAAAAATCAGTATGTATAAGCAATTCAAAGACCACATATTTATATTCAGAAACCCATTATTCTAGTATTGCCCCTTGAGGTCTATCTGACCTTTGGTGGTCCTTAAGGTCGACGATTCAAGAAAGAATAATTGTTCATCAGACAAAAAATCCAATCCGGGCCCTTATTTTATCAGCCATTTTGTGGCAAGTTTTTTTTTTTTTTTTTTATAAAATTTCTTTTCCTTTTTATTCCATTTCTAGATATTGTTGATTGAATATTCGAGTTTTTTATGCACCTAAAAAGAGGCCGAGTTAAGATTTTTTGGGTTTTTAAATCTTTATTGTGAAAATAGTGATACAATAATAGTGATACGATAATCGTATGCAATTCAATACATCATATGTTCTATCGTGTTTGATTCACAGAGTTGAAAAGTGTAATAAACAAGGTATTAATTTATTTTTCTTAATATAGATTGTGCTCCGAAACTTTTTTAAGAGTTTATAAGGTCTCTTATTGCTCCAAGGTCTTGTTCACATCCTGTAAAACAACTCAAGGGCTAGATGCCCAACTCGAGGGTTAGATGCCCAAGTGGCATCAACTTAGGAAGGCTTATGTGTGTACTTAACATTGAAATATATATACAACGGTTGTGTTACATATAAATAATAATTTATATAACAGCTTACCAACAGATGGTGTTACGAGATTTAATTGGATCGAAATCTCATCAATCAAATAATTTTTTCATTTATATTTGAACACAGCATCATTATGTAAATATCTATGTACGAGAAGCATTTTCCTATATATAAAGCTAAGGGAGTATGAATTATGGATAAGGAGACAATAGTCAAAACATAGGAGTTGTTTAGATTTCTAGAATTATTTGAGAGACTGTCACACGAAAAATGAAAAAAATAACAACAAATCGTTCAAGAGTGAACGAAAAGATTTATACTAGGATTCCATGATGTGGGTCGTGATGTGGCTAAGTGCCCATATCTAATTAAATGTGAAAATGTCAAAAAAAAAATGAAAGGTATGTATATTTTTCGCAATAAGTGAAAGATATGGACATTATGTATAATTACCCTTTTAATAATTTATTTGTAACTTATTTGAGCTTTTTTAAAAAATTGGAACTGTGATTGCAATTAATTTTTTTTTTTTTTATTTAAAGAGGGTGGTATATTCGTCATTTCATAATTTTTAATTGAAAAAATAAGTGAAAACGACCTTTTGCGTATTGAAACGTGAAAATAAGGGTAAAAATGCTCCAAAAAAAATGAAAGGTATAGACGTTTTCCACAATAACAATGAAATGTGATAACATTATGTGCTAATTACCTCTATAATAATTCCTTTCAAAATCTATGTGAAAATAATGAAATTGAATTCCATCAATATTGTTTGGGAGTATACAAGGAAAATTACTCTGAGATCAGAGTTTACGCTTTTATATTTTCGATTTTGCACTCCCCAATTGACCTAAAGGACCTTCCATGCAGGAACATCAAATTATATCATTAACTATAAAGAGTTAACGCAATAGTTATATTCAAATGTTCCACCAAAATGAAAAGAAAAACTTAATTGTTGCAGATGTCGTAAACTGCTATTGTTAACCATACGTGAAATACAAAATGCTCTAAATATTTTATTAATTATGTTGGTGTTCGAACTCACATGCTAACTCGGACCAGCTTTGAGTAAGATTAGAAGGATTTTAACAATAAAACTCCAAAATCACATATTAAACTAGAAATTTCGTCCAATAAGCTCAATCATATACCGCCATCATTTGAAATATAATCGTTTTTCACTTAAAATGTATGTTTTAATGATGTCATTACCTCTAAAATGATCAGCAAGTATCATCTTTGACGTCAGCACCTTCTCATTCATCTTTCAGAGGAGCATAATGATTGCATAAGTAGCTCAAGTAATCATGATATAGGCAACAACTACAATCTATGTAAAATGATGACTTGGCCTGTCGAATTCGATAGCCAATCAAAACTTTCCAATTAGGATGGTGACACACATATAAAGGTCGGACTATAGCTTAACGTGACAAGGAGCGGCTAGCTCTTGGTTGAAGGCATATCACATATGAATAGGGAATATGGTCATCCACTTTCAAAGCAACCGTCCATAAGAAATTACTCTTTTTAACAATATTTCAGTAATTATCCTATTAAATTTGTCTTTAGGTAGTTTAAATTTATCACGTCATTTTTAAGATCTGTTTGATCCACATTTTTAAAAAAATGCATTCTTTCAATACTCATTTCCAACAACACAATTTTCAATAAAATAATATTACACAAAAATTTAAAAATTTTCTTCATTTTTTAACCAAATATTTTACATCACATTACTATTTAAAATGCATTCTTCCCTCAATTACGTGCATCAAACAAGGGTTTAACAAATGTAAAGAATGTACAATAAATTGTACAATGTGATTCAGTTGA